TTGGAAACAATGAGGTGCAAACGTTTCAGGGAATCTTCTGGTTTGACTTAATTGCATACAGCAGAAACTTTTCAGATTCCTCCAGGCCTTTTCTGCAACCACAGAATAATTGAAAATCGCTTTTAAAATGCAACTTTATGACTACTTATGACATTAAGGAGTCTTGGAAATTGTCTGAGGCTTGCTGGATGTCTTTTTTTGCATTGTTTGGGTTGTTGTTGCACAGATTTCTGCCTTTAGCTTTAGATCAGATCCGCCTGAACACACATTTTGTTATATGGCGCAGTGCAGCCGAACCGATTGCCTTGTAATAGAGACCACATGGGCTGCAGAAGCACTGGAGGCTGGCCGTGAGGTCCTCAGGGAAAGGTTTGGGGAAGGGAATGTTTCCCTGACTCAGCTCTTCTGGACTGAACCGAGCTCTAATGAGGGGAGAGGGAAGGTCCTCCGTCAGTCACACTTGCAGGAAGTTTTATATTGCACACATAAATACACACAATCTGAGAAAACAAGAAACCTTTCTATTGCTTTTCCCCGGGCGTCCCAATAGAACAAGAACCACATACACCTGAGCAAACATGCTGCTACGGTTTTCCTTCCTATTACTCCTACATGCACAAATACACCCAACTGTTGATGGCATCTACTTACACCCCCAACCCACAGAATTTAATAATAGCAACTAAATGTGTTCACATTTATGGAAAGGAGCTAATTGGGAAAATGTAGGGATGCCCTGGAGAGATGCTGTCTCTCATCGGGGAGCCTGTCCAGCACGCTGCAGAACTCCCCGGCTATCAGACTAAATGTGGCTGCAAAGGAGGTTTAATGTGCTGGAAAACTGCTGCTAGGGGTTTAACATTGTGAGCATGAGCTTTGGCTTTTCTGCATTATCTGTGCTTAGATCTATTCTATTGCTCAGGTTTTAAAATGGTGTAAAATCAAATCAAGATATGTCTGTTGGTAAAAGTGAAGCAATATAAACTGAGGTTTAGTTTATTAATCAAATAATTTGTGTCCATCGTGATTCTTTTCAACCATGAGCTAATTAATTTAAATTTGGTTCTCTCAGGCTCAAAATTAATTGTAAGAATTTTAAATTGGCCATAAAACATTAGATTATCTGCAACTTGATTGTGATACGAGTTGGAAATTAAACATACATAGTTTCAGTTTATTGCCATTTATGGGTCAGTTACTAAACTTAAACCTTTAATTACAGAGATAACTCATTCAGCTGTCGCTATTTATTAATGAAAAACAGACCGTTAATAAATATTAAAGATGACAAAATGAATTTTAATCATTGCGTTCGAATATTAGCACCAGTAGGAATAGGTGTTGATTTCAATTTAGACCAGTAAAGCAGTGGTCTCTAACTCTAATCCTGTAGGGTCAACATCATGGAACCTTTAGCCCAGGGGTCACCAACCGATTAAGACTGAGGGCTACTTTATGGGTATTTATTCATAGGACGGGCTACCAAACCTGACCTATGACCTGCAGGAGTCAGCATTCACCTAAACTTCTTATATTATAAACATATTTGTATTCGTTATTTCCATCTCTAATTTGCTTTTAGATATTGTCATTTTCAAATTCCTATAAATGCTTAAATGTTCTAAATTATTGATATGATTGAATGCTCTATAAATGATAAAAAATAAAATTTCAAACTTAGTCAACTGAGGTGTAATTCTGTTGTCAGAAGAACCTGAGTGCAACCCATTTGGCCCTTGAGGGCGCCTTGGTGCCCGTGGACACTACGTTGGTCCCCCCAGCTTTAGACGCTTCTCTTGCCCTACATGCCTGAATCAAACTACGTCACTAGCTCTGCTGATGAGCTCACTTTGGAGATGCACTAATACAGATATGCTTCTAAAAGTTGCAAGATACCGCTCAACACACCTCCATCAAATATATCCAGAGTTCTCTTAACCATCAATTACTTTATACTGATGTTGCACCAACTATGCCCTCAGGGACTGGAATCACCCACCCCTACATTAATATTTCTACTCAACCCTTTCAGAACCTTCTCAGTGTTTTTGATCCGCCTTCGACTACCAGTCTTTACAGGGTTTTTTTACGTTATGGTTTGAAGATTTCTTTCTAATCAATCTCATACAAACACTTACAGACTGACATTTAGAAAACCATTAGCTTGTTCAGGTTTGGATGGTTTTAACTTCAAATGTTCGTACAAAGATGAGGCTCATTCTATATCCTGAAGTTGTAAAGATGTTGAGTTTCTTCTGATTCTTTTTTTTTTTTTTTCTGACTCAGGCTTAAGGGCGGGTTATCCTTCCCGCAGCAGTGTGTTGCAGTGAGCTTGTCGCAGATATTTTTGATTTATTCACAATTTTTAAGCGTGGTCTGCGCTATGTTGTTCCACGCCACAACGCAAGAGGAACAATCAGGAACTAGCTGTGGGTCTAGATACGGCCGAGGCGGGGAGGAAGTGGGGGCAAGTTTGCGCGAAAATGGAGGGATATGAGAGCAAAAAAGAGTGGGGATCCAGGTGGAAAAAGGGTCTTGGTGTTCCATGCACCTCGCTCTTCTAGCCGGTCCAACTTAACGAGTGGTTTTCCACAATGGCGGTCATACAAACAAACCAATCCAGTAAGTTATCAAACAGGAAATAGGCATAGTGCAGAGCAGATGTAGATTTGACCAATCAGAGACCTCCTGTCTGCGGTCACCTACAATTTTGAATATGTCCACTACAGTGTCTACGGAAGGGGTGGAGGCACATTTGCGTTCCCTGCGACGCAAACGCAGACGACCTGGTTTCTGAGTATAAATCAGCCTTTAGAGTCACAGTGATCTTATGCAAAATCTGACCCATCAAATTCACCAGAAATGTACTTTGTTTTTCTTGCTGTTATAATGGGGCCTTATTATTTTTAGAGATCATTAGGGTATATTTAGCTTTTATTTTTGATCTGATTGATGGTATTTCCTGCTCTCCTTTATGTATGAAAAGCTTATGACTCCGAAGCAGGAATGAGCTTTAAACAACTTATAGTAAGTTCAAAAGAGACGGCTACATCTCATTAGTCATATCAGTGTGTGTATATTTTTCCTGTTAGCTATGAGACGTTTGAGGCTTTTTTTTTCTTTTAATTTCTGCATTTCCTGTGTGGGATATCATTCATCTGCTTTTATGGGTTCTGTATAATATTTTCTACATCACGGTGAGAACTTTTGACATTATCAGACTCTGCTTCTATATCAGATCTCACCACCAGGGACAGCTGAAGCTCTGAATTGGCAAACATTGGATGAGTTTTTCATTTTCTTCCCTATTTAAGTAGAGCCAGCTGAGCCTGGTGGGAGTCACTGAGCAACGGCACGAATCTCATCTTTAATCTAATAAAGGGGCTCTGCGGAGGCTGGAATTAATCAGATCTGTTAAGGAGAGGAGCTTTGAACGGTAGAGTGATGGAGAGGAAAAGTGTGGAAGCATTTTGGGTGGAGAGAGAATATGATTGGACATAATGAACGATCTTAGTGTTGAAAGACGGGGGGCTTTAAATCACCTTTACTCTCCTTCAGGCTGTGTGTGCAGTCCTGATCCATTTGAGCTACGATGGGACCACCGGATCTTCCTCTGTCAGTCTGAAGATATCAGACCAGAGTGGTTTTATTCACCGCCGTAGTTTCAGTGGGAAGACAGAAGTGAATTTATGAGCAAAAATATGGCAGTTAATCTTTTTTTTAAGGAATTTCTGTTGAAACCATCTTTCCAAATATTAATTTGGTTTCCCCTTTCCATTAATAAATACAATTTTATGTTGTTTTAAATTAATATTAACCATTTTTTTCCATGTTTTATTTAACAAAACATTTTTCTTTCTCTGCACATTTTGGTGCAACATTTCAGATCACCTCAGAGGCTTATGTTCAAAAATGTTAATTCTACATTTTTTAAAATTCATGCTTAAGGGCGTGCAGGTGGCGCAGTGGTAAGCGCGCATGGCCCATGTCCTCAACGCAGCTGACCCGGGTTCGAATCCGACCTGTGGTCCTTTGCCACATGTCCCTCCCCCTCTCTCATACCCCTTTTCTTGTCAGACTACTGTCAGAAAAACGAGTTACTAGTACAGTAAAAACTCGGGGGGGAAATTACACGCTCAAATGTCGGAGCTCCCATTGAGTCTTATCCTCCATTTTCCATCCATCTATCTTCAAACTTTTTTTTCCTCACTCGTTCTTCCAGATAATCTTCCCGTCTGTCCATCATTTCATTTATAATCTATACAAGAATATAAATTAATTGAGGGGTTTTGGTTATGTACTGTTAAAAATGGCTAAAACGACTGTAAACAGGTATTAAAGTATT